TTTTTGATCTTGTCAAATCACATTTACTATAGTTATTTACGGACATGCAATGTATTTAAATTTTTTTCAAGGGTAAAAAAGATCAAAAATGACATTTTTTTCAAAGATTTTTAAAAGTAAAACATTTTTGAAAATGCCATTGGGTGCGATTTCTTCTTTTATCTTATCGTACAACATTCAATATTCAAGTTGTTGATCCTCGGTCCTTGCAATGTGATTCTTGAACCTATCCCACTGCACGCGGAGCATAGAGTGACACGCGAGAGAAATACAAGCATGAAAGGTTCGCAATTTCACATAAAGTTAGCGACCCTTTCCCCATCCAAGCCGGGCTACATGTTTTCAATAAAAAATACATGTGGGTAAATGAAGATTCTTAGTAGAAACGATCATAAGCTAGTCAGTAGGGATCTTTCGTTTGTCATTTTCCTAAATGACCAAGTTACCTCAAAGTTTAGAGTGAAATCCATAAACACCCCCTTATTCTAAGAGAAAATCATGCAATTCAAATATTTTCTTCTCAAATAACTACTGCCCCTCTTGCTCCAAGTTTAAGTATTGAAATCAGAGTGCTTAGGAGGAGAAAATCATAGTTAAATGAGAGAATTTGTTTATTCGATTTTTTCCATCAATCAAATAACACTACAGATTCACATGATTTCGTTTTATTCAGTTTCATGACTAATTTTCGGTATCATAGATGTATGTTATGTTAGGTATAGCATTATGTGAAGACTTGAGACTCTATCGTAAAATGTTAATCTTATTAAAATAAGTAATCCACTTCCTTATATGTTGGTCAATATTTCAGCATTTTTAATCGATATGGGATTTATTCTTTAACATATTCTCGTAGGATGGTGGCTTGTATCTTTTTTGAGTCTTAATCGGATCAAATTGCTCGTTGGAGTTTAGTAGATTCTAATAATATGTTAAGACTTGAAGATCCCTCTTAAAAGATCAATTTTATTAAGATGAGTAGCCAAATACTTTATATATTGGTATATATTTCGGTATTTAACAAATGTGAGATATATTCCTTAACACAATGGACTTTGTAATGTATTTTTTATTCAATGATTGATTCTGGTTAAGTAGAACACACTACGCCATTATATGTTTTTTAAGTATATCGTGCTACTTTGAAAAATTTAGGCCTTCGCATAGTCCCAGATCTTCAAAACTCAAAAATTTTAAATTTCCCCTTAGCATCATGATTGAACAAAGACCAAAAAAATCAAGTGGCATATCAATTTTCACTGTTCACAGGACTCTTTCGATAATCATACTACTTGTACAATTTTTATTTTTTTTAATAATCTTAGTCGAATCATATTTGACAACATTATATTCGTCCATTTAAAAGTTATTTTCAAAATTAAGGGTCCAAATTTTGATAATATCAACGTTGTCATCCATCGTTATTAATCACAATTGGAAAAATAAATTAATCCTCTTTAAAAATGGCATATGTGATTTCTTCCCGATAAGTGAAAATTCTTCCTTAAAAACAACAGGCCACGTTGGGCCTAAAAGATACTCAACACA